CCGGCTTTGCCTTTTCAAGTTCTTGGGAGCTGTGTCCACAGCATGAACCTTTAATCTCAGGGACCTTTTTCTTATCTGCAAAAATTAAATGACAGCACACCTTTATATCAATTTAGACTAAGAACTACAAGGAAGGGAAGGAGGGAGGGTGGGAAGGAGAAAGGGATGGAAGGAGGGAAAAAGGAGACCAAATGACATGACTAAAGGCTACAGTATAACTGGAAAAAGTATGATGCTTAAGAGAAAGACTTGGGTTTAAATCCTGTTTCCACTATTTACTAGCTGTGTGACTCGGAGAATATTAACTTCTCTGAGACTTAGTATTTTAATGTGCAAAACTGATTAAAACCATCTATTTTAACTTGTTATGAAAAATAATGCTCAGACTTTAGTATTGAATACCATTCCCCACTAAAAAGGACCTCAAATCAAGAAATGACTGACTCTAGTACCGGGAAAGGGTACATACAAGATGAGGCTAGAGTATTTTGCTATACCAGAAAGTAAGAAATTTCTCAAATATATAGCATGTCCCAAGGACATGGGAGTCAGTTTGAAGAGGCTCCACTAGATAAATCTGGGACAACTTGAACACTTAGTATAGTAATGAATTATAAAACATATTTTAGTCTGGCTGGTGTGTCTCAGCAGGTGAGGATCGACCCAGGAACCAAGAAGGCACCAGGCACATGCCCGGGTGTGGGTCCATCCCTAATAGGGGCTGTGCAGGAGGCAGCTGATCGATGATGGTCCTCTCTCATCAATATTTCTCTCTCTCTCCCTTCCTTTCTCTCTAAAAAGTCAATAAAACGTATATTTAAAATATATGTTTTTTTAAAAATATGAATTCATAGTTCATACCAATAATCCTACCAAAAATGGGGTAGATGGATAGGTGGGTGGATGGGTGGATGGATGGATGGATGGATGAATAGATGGATATGTAAGCAAGTTGCTAAGTATATAATAGGCAGATGGATGGGTGGACAAACAGACAGATAAATAAATAACTACGCAGTCTTTAACAGTATTGGTAATGTTCTATTTCTTAAGTCTTAAAGTGGGTTCCTGGTCATCAGCCCTCGTAACTTATGTGATCATTACATGTATTTTTTGTATGTGTCAAGTATTTAATGGTTAATGGGTTTTAAATCACTTTTAAAAATAATGAGATATTAGAAGACTATAACCAAATAGTCAACAGTGGCACTCTGGGAGTAAGACTGTAAAGGACTTTATCTCTTACTATATGTTTTGGATTATTTAATCCTTTCTAATGAATTTGTTAATGTGTTGTTTTTAGGGGGAAAGACTGAAGAAAGAAAAATAAATTTGTTTATAGTCTGATTTGACTTAGTCCAATTTCTTTCATATTGACAGGATTTCCCAAAGCCAAACTACTCATTTCACACACACAAATATGATTCTCAGGCCATTCCAAATATGATAACAGACATAAAATGACACTGAAAAGAAGCAAGATATAAATTAAGGCCGAAACCGGTTTGGCTCAGTGGATAGAGCGTCGGCCTGCGGACTGAAAGGTCCCAGGTTCAATTCCGGTCAAGGGCATGTACCTGGGTTGCGGGCACATCCCCAGTAGAAGATGTGCAGGAGGCAGCTGATCGATGTTTCACTCTCATCGATGTTTCTAACTCTCTATCTCTCTCCCTTCCTCTCTGTAAAAACTCAATAATATATATATAAAAGATATAAATTAAGGTGGTATTACCATGCACCTAATGAGCAATTAGATATTCTCAACCATACCTAGAAGTAAGGGAAAAAGATCTATGAACAATGAGAAAAATACTGTTGACTGATTTCTCAGGCAAGGCAGGGGTTCTCTAAGGATCCTGGTAATACTGCCTACTGAATTAGAAACGTGTGAAAACTAAGGTTACTGGTTTAGTACGTATGATTTGCTCTGGCAATTCTTAGTTCTTTTCAGCTTACAAACAGAGAGAGTGTGCATGTGTTGGTATGTGGGGGGAAGAAGCAGGCTGCAAGGGGCCAACCCCCTATTAGGGATGGAAGCTACTAAAAGACATGCCAAGCCTCGCTCAAAAGCTCAGTGAATAGAGAGAACCTAGACACAGAACCTAGACACAGAACCTAGACTCAGAACCTAGACTCAGAATCTAGCGAGAGAACATGGCAAAAGATCCTGGACTGAACCTGACTACAGAAATTGGTAAGAGAACCTGACTAGAACCTGGTGACTGAACCTGGCTGGAGAACCTGGACAGAACCTGGCTGGAGAACCTAACCAGAACTTTTCTGGAGATCCTGACCAGAACTTGGTTTTGGCTCATGTAGAATGTCACTGCTTTCCTGTGCCAGGTTTTAAAAAAAACTTTTTTTTAAAAAAAAAAAAAAAAAAAAAAAAAGCTCAGTGAATAGAAGCCCTATAGTCCTCTGTGACCTCTGAAAACTTCAGGGGGCTGCAGTACAGCACACCAACTCTTCTTCATAATGACAATTCTAAGTATTAAGGAAAAGTTAAACTGTCAATTCATCAAATACTCAAGGACCACAAATCCTGTGTCATTCACTCTGCCATGTGTTAGGGAGAAAGAGATAAAAACACTGCCCCTGCCCACAAGAAACTCACAAATAAATCAGAAAACACCTAATACACTTCAGGAACATTTCCATTAAAAAAATGGTTGAGCCCTAGCTGGTTTGGCTCAGTGGATAGAGTGTTGGCCTGGGGACTGAAGGGTCCCGGGGTCGATTCCAGTCAAGGGCACATGCCTGGTTTGCGGGCTCGATCCCCAACAGGGGACCTGCAGGAAGCAGCCAATCAGTGATTCTCTCTCATCGCTGATGTTTCTACCTCTCCCTCTCTCTTCCTCTCTGAAATCAATAAAAATATATTTTAAAAAAAGAAAAAAATGGTTGAAATAAACCAGTAATGTGAATGAAAAAGTGTCCGCTATTTGTCAATTTTCTTATGTGAAGCCCTTGATTTCTCAATAAAGCCAGGGAATAAAAATATGACTGTGCCATTAAAATTCTCATTATTCTCCTTCTAAACAGAATCACTTCCGAATGGAGGGAAGGCCATGAAAAATAGACGTAAGAGGGCCTAGCGCAACTTTGTCTTTTAAATGCAAAAGGAAATCTAGGGGGAGGACACACATCAAGTAGGAGTAACATTACACATTTGTTCACTCAAAAACTAGATATATCTTTGCTCTCCTTTTATTTTCAAAGCAACCCTCTAGAACTGTGGTTATGGGTGTTACAAAGATCAGTAGGAATCAAACCCCATTACCAGCTTCTGCTTCTGTTTGTTTTGAGGCCGAGGTCTGAGCATGGTGTCCGGACGTGGGTGTAGGAAGGACGACCAGGGTTCCAGGGTCTCCTCGGCCAGTGACACCCATGTTTCTCTGAAACAAATTAGCTTTATAGTTATTGCCTAGTAAAAGTCTTCACACAATTCTCTATTTAACATGCTAATATTAAACACACACACACACACACACAAAAACAAAAAAACACACAAAAACCCATCACCCTGAAACAAATCCTGCCTAAACTATCACCAATATTTTTCTATGGTGTTAATGTGAATACTGTCATTACGACGAACTAGTCTAATTTTCCAAATTAGAACATTATCTGGCAGAGGACGGGCGGCCAACTATGAGATAGGAGATACATATGAATTTGAAGTATTTTAATAGTTTATGTGATCAGACCATTGGACTAGATGAAATCAAAATTGCTCTTGAAAATCCAGAACATTTTCACTGTAGCAGGAATCAAATTCATTAGAAATTGCAATACCGATCTTTTGCCTTCCATGAATTGAAAGTAAAATAACAGTAAAAATATTTTTTAACTTAGATAAGTATGCTATATGTTTCTAAATATTTTAATATATGCTACCATTTTGAAAGAAAGGCCAGTTAAATTCCAATGTTAAAAAGAGAAACTGAGGCTCACCTAAACGAAGCACCTTGCACAAGACCATTTCTTCACTAACACGTATTGAACACTTTCTGCGTTCTAGTCCTGTTACAGGCAATACAGCCACTATACTAATTTGTGGTGAGACATTATTTTAAAGTAGTATTTTCAGATTTTGGACAACTACTAAATCCCAAAGAATGATCTTGAGAGGGCTGTCTTGTTTAATTACTTAAAACACATTATATATGCTTGATTCTAGAAGCCTTTATTTTGATTATGAGAAACTCATTTAACTATCAGGAAACCTACCTACAATGCCCACCACAAGCAGAGATCAGCAAGTAAAGAGAAGAGGCAAATTCTGAGCATTCAAGAGGACAGGGATGGGGTTGAGCCAAAAGGAGTAACAAAGGTGGAGCCCCCAAACAGTCAATGTTTCCAGTTTCTACTCAAAACTGGAGAAAAGCTAAGATAACACAAAAAATTTAGCAAGCACTTTTTGGTCTTAGCTTTTACTTGACTGTGGTGGTAAGAAAAGATAGAATGCACATCCTTTAGTCTGTTTGAAATTTTTATTCCAATTGGTATTTCTCTTTTCTTTTATCAACTATGAAATGTTGTGTTAATATATTTTGATAAGGCATTCATTTCCTTGGACACTTGATTTTTAATTCATTTCATCCTTTCCATTTTATTTATTTATTTATTTAGTTAGTTAGTTAGTTTTTAAATATTCTTATTGATTTCAGAGAGGAAGGGAGATGGAGGAGAGATAGAAACATCAATAATAAGAATCACTGATCGGCTGCCTTCTGCATGCCCCTTACTGGGGATCAAGCCTGCAACCTGGGCATTTGCCCGATTGGAATCAAACCTGGGACCCTTCAGTCTGCAGGCCATGCTCTATCCACTGATCCAAACCAGCTAGGACCATCCTTTCCATTTAAAAAAAACCCTTTGATCACCTAAATTATTTTAATGAGACTTATTTTATATGTACCTGTAGATCAGTGTTTCTGTTTTAATTTTCATGAATAGCTCTAAAAACTATAATAAATCATCAAGCACAGCTCTTCACATTTATGGCACCTATATTGCAAATTTATAATCACTGCTTTACCTCAAGGTTCTGAAATGAGTTAGCTTTAAAAGAGCAAAATTCAAGTATTACTCTGTGACAAATGCCAGATTAGGCATTTCAAAGCTACCCTTTTTCAGGAATGGAATCTGATCCCACCCAACTAAAGCCGCAAAAGTCTAAGTTCTTAGCCAAATTACGTGATTCTGTCTCCAGAGACATGTAAGCCACATTGAGTCATACAAATGATCTTACACTGTTTGCACAATTATAAGTCCTATAAAAAGACCCCGGGTTTGATTACATATTAATGGTAGAAGAAAGGTGTTACATTTTCTTGATTTTTTTATAGCAGAAATCGCCTTTTCAGGAAAGTAAACTTGAAAGCATACATGATTTTCCCATCACTTATCATTAAAACCTCCTATGGATAATTCTTCTTATTTTAATTATCTATTTTTCCCCAAAATTCTCAATAGAATATTATAAGCATTATTCATGGGAAGGAGTCTCACCCAATTATTCTTAAATTGAAAGCAACTAGTAAGTAATAACATCTTTTGAAATCAATAATTTAAAATATCAGATTTGAACTGTAGAGAAGATGGCGGCATAGGTAAACGTGGTACTCGCCACCTCCCACAACCCATCAAAATCACAACTAAAATACAGAACAACCATCATTCAGAACCGCTTAAAATCTGACTGAATAAAAGCCCTCCAACTAGAACATTTAAAGAACCCACACTGAGACTGGTAGGTGGGGCAGAGGCGCAGAATGGGCTGGTCCAATACGTGTTTTCAGTTGGGATGGATATCTTGGCTGAGAAGGCCTCCTCTGAGGAGCAAGGGTCCCAGCTCCACATCAAAAGTGTCAGCCCAGGGTTCCAGTGCTGGGAAGAGAAGTCCCCGAATTGTGCTAAGTGACACAGAGGCTGCCTGAGATCCAGGCAGTTCCTCTTAAAGGGCCCTTGCACAGACTTACTCCCTCTGAGCTCCAGTGCTGGGCAGCAGCTTGAAAGGCTCCAGGGACATATGGGGAGGAGCTAAATTGTCTAGCATCAGGGCAAGAACTTGGGGGGCCACTATCTCCTAAACAAAAGTGCTGGCAGAGGTCACTGTTTCCCTGTTGAGATCTCCCCCCACACAGAGCTGATTGTCAGGTGCTCCATTATTCTGGCCAACATTGTTCACTTTGGTGATTCCCTGAGATCCCACCCCACCCAATTTGCAGCCCCACCCAACCTGTTTGCAGTGGCTTTTTTATATTAATGCTCTGTTCTGGCTCAGGCTTCAGATTTTCCTAAAATCTCTCAAATAAGCAGCAGCTGGACTTGGTGTGCCCCATACCTCTCAATAAGTGGCCCCAGGCCTGGCACTAGTAGCAACTTGCCAAGGTTCACAACTTGGCCTCTCCTGGACACCTCCTAGCACAACATAAGTAGCAGCCATCTGCAGATTGCTCTGTAGTTCAGGCCAGGTGGCCCCAGGCAAGGGGCAAGCAGTGGCTGACTTTGCACCTCCCGGGAGGCCCCAGAGCCATTGCACCTGGTGGAAGCTTCAGACCACACCAAATTACAACTCTACCACATCTAAAGTGACACACTCAAAGGGCGGACTCAGTGAGCACCAAAGCCCCACTGAAGCAAGTCCTGCTCCATAGGGGTGTCTCCTGCACAGCAGCTCTTCCACTGTAGTCACAGCTAGTCCTCACAGCCAATTGGCCTGGGGGTCCAATTCCTCCCAATGATTCCAACAGTAATCAAGGCTCAACTACAATAGGACACTGCCCACACAGGAGCACACCTAGAGTGCCCAGCTCAGGTAACTGGGTATGCTGAGCCACTAGAGCCCTATAGGACACCTAGCACGGAAAGCCACTCTATCAACTCAGGGAAGCATAAAAAATGCGGAGACAAA